GATCAATCAACGCGGAAATAACGGCACCTGCTCGATATTTATGAACTGAGTTTAGACCGCTATTGGGTCAAATGAAATTCTGAATTATTTATAAGGTAGTAGCATATGTAAGAAAAAAATTATTAAAAAAAAAAAAAAAAAAAAAAAAGAAAACAATGGTGTTTTGTAATTAAATGTTAAGTTTGAATGTGGGTTTAATTTCACTGTAAGGTCTTAGAGTTAAGATGTCACTGCCAAATGAAATGGATCTTTCTGCTGAAGATGTGAAAACTGAAGAAAAGCCAAAGGGACAAGAGTTGGTTTCAGGTCCTCGCACAAGAAAGTTGACTGAAAAGGGAGAGCAGTACAGAGAAGAAGAGTCTGCAAAACAGATAAAGGCATTTCTTAAGTCTTATGCATCCTGGAAACAAACTGCAAGAAGCAAGGAAGAAGCTAAAGGGTTTCTGCTCTGAGGAGAATCTGGATGAAATAAATAAGCAAGTCCAGAACAGTCTTGATAAAGTGAAACAGAATTATGAGTTTCTTCAACGTAATTTTTTAAATACTCCAGATATTGTGCAGAAACTAGATGCCTGTACTATATTAACAAATGAGATTTATGATCTTGTGTGTAAGCGTTTAGAAAGGGGTATTGTTGAGGAAAACTTTAATCAAGAAGTTGAAAAGGAAAGAGTGAGAGAAGTCTTAAATAGAGATGAATATCAATCTGTTTTTGGAGAAGCGTCTATTGAAAGTTCTCCCTGCAGTTCATCAATTACTAGCTCCAAGGTTTCTCAGGGGCGTGTAATGGCAGAAGCTGATCTTGCAGCCAAAAGGGTTCAAGTTAGATCAATGTTGGAGATTGAAGCTCAGCATGCTAAAGTCAGTAAACTTGAATGTGACTGGAAATGTCATGAGTCCCAGATTATGGCAGAAATGAAGCAGAAGGAAGCTGAAGTGCTACAGCAGCTTGATGAAGAGAAGAGCAAGTTAAAGGTAATGCAAACAGACATGGAAGTTAAGATGGCTGCAGCTCGGGTTGCTGTTTACAGCAGACTTGAAGATGGTGTTGAAAAGGGAAATCTTGATTTTAAGTCTGAGGTTAAATCAGAGCAAACACTGAAACACCCAAGTCATAAAGCTGCAAAGGTTGCATCAATTCTACCACCTCATGTTTGTGCTGAGATTCCTGCAGTGAACTTGGCTGAAGCCTTAACGAGCTCATTGAGTTTAAGTCGCCTTCCTGTTCCTGAACCTGCTATATTCTCTGGTGACCCTTTGAAATTTGTGGACTTTAAAATATCATTCACGACTTTAATTGATTCAAAATCCATCTCTGCTGGAGAAAAAATGTTGTATCTGAAAAGTTATCTTTCAGGAGAAGCCCGAAAGGCTGTAGAAGGTTTCTTTTACAGAAGCTCTGAGGACGCATATGAAGGTGCTTGGTCAGTTTTACAAGATAGGTATGGAAACCCATTTGTCATCCAGAAAGCATTTAGGGATAAACTTATGTCATGGCCAAAGATTGCACCAAACGATCCATTGTCTCTCAGAGATTTTGCTGACTTTTTGAAAGGTTGTGAAGAGGCTATGCCTCAAGTAAAGGGACTGTCCATCTTAAATGACTGTGAAGAAAATCATAAGATGTTGAAGAAGTTACCAGACTGGGTTACGTAAATGGAGTAGAGTTGTTGTTGAAGTACTTGATGCATGTGGAGAATATCCATCCTTTGAATGTTTTTCTAGATTTATACAAAAGGAAGCACGTATAGTATGCAACCCTGTTGCTTCTCCATTTTTGTTAAAGTCTAGAACTTCTTCAAATGACCTTTCCAGGAAAGCAAAGGTTCTTAACACCAGTACGGAGTTTAAGAAACAAGAAAGTGTTCATGGTTTAAAATCTAAACTGCCTTGCTTGGTTTGTGCAGACATGTCACACAGTGTTGCTAAATGTCCTACATTTGCAGTTAAATCAATGGAAGACAAAAGATCATTTATATATCAGAACCATCTTTTGTTTGGATGCTTAAGGAAAGGTCATTTATTGAAAGATTGTAAAACGCGGCATGTTTGTGGGGAGTGTAGACGGCATCATCCTACTTGTTTGCACAAGGAGAGAGTGAGATCTCATGATGTTGCTCAGCAGTGTTCCATAACTCCAGAAGAAACACCTCAGGTTTCTCATAGTGTATTATCTCATGCACTCATCCGAAACATTTCTGCTACATCAAGTATTGTTCCAGTTTTCCTGTCCTCTGTGAAGGATCCTGGGAAGGAAATACTTACATATGCACTCCTTGATACTCAGAGTGACTCCTCCTTTGTTTTAGAAGATCTTGTGAGAAACTTGATTGTTGAAACCAAACCAGTACAGTTAAAACTTAGTACCATGGTTTCTGTTGATACACCCATTTCAAGTCAAAATGTGTATGGCTTGCAGGTTCGGAGTTTTTTCTCTGATACTTGTATACAGTTGCGGCAAGCATATACACGTGACTTTATTCCTGTTGATACATCTTGCATACCAAGTAGAAGTACAGCATTACAGTGGCCTCACCTTAAACATCTAGCTGGCAAAATGCCTGCTTTGCAAAATTGTGAAGTAGGTTTACTTATTGGTTTTGACTGTCCTTCTGCTTTGGCTCCCTTGGAAGTTGTTGTTGGTGGGGAAAATGAACCTTTTGCTCAGAAGACTGCTCTTGGTTGGAGTATTATTGGGGCAATTAATCCACATTTAGATCGGCAAGGAAACCAAAGATATGTACACAGAGTGATGGTGAAAGAAATGCCCACTCCATTAACTTCTGATGTTTTAAGAGCTTTGGAGTTGGATTTTAATGAAAGGGGTTCAGAAGGAAAATGTGTTTCCCAAGATGACATTCGGTTCATACGACTTCTGAGCGAAAACATTATACAAAAAGATGATGGCCATTTGGAGATGCCCCTTCCATTTAAAACATCCTGCCTTCCTATGTTGCCAAACAATAAGACACTGGCTACCGTTCGTTTACAACATCTGAGGAGAAGGTTAAAGAGAAATGATCAGTTCTACAATCATTATAAAACATTTATGGAGTCTATCATTAACTGTGGAGATGCTGAACTAGTTTCTGAGGAAAATGCCAATGATGGTTGTGTGTGGTACTTGCCTCATCATGGGGTGTATCATTCAAAGAAACCAGATAAGTTAAGGGTAGTGTTTGACTGCTCAGCTAAATTTCGTGGCATCTCTTTGAATGATACTTTGTTGACTGGTCCAGATTTGATCAACTCTTTAACTGGAATCCTCCTGCGTTTCAGAAAAGAAGCTGTGGCTATTACTTGTGACATTGAAAGGATGTTCCACCAGTTTTATGTTACGTCTAACCATCGCTGTTACCTGAGGTTTATGGTGGGAGCAAGGAGATTTGGATGGTCTAATAAGTGTTCCTACAGCTAATGACACTCCAGATTTTTTGGAACGTTTCACTAAGTTTTCATCTTGGTCAAAATTGATTAAAGTTGTTGCCAGAATCAAAAGACTTGGATGCCACAACAAATGCTATTCAAACGTGGTGAGTGTTAAAGAACGGGAAGATGCTGTTAAATCAGTGGTGAAACTTGTACAAGAACAGGCTTTTGGCTCCGAGATGAGGTTGTTAAAAGGGGGAGACATCCTTCCCCGTTCTAGCCCTTTGTTCAATTTGAATCCTATTGTAAAAGATGGACTGCTGCGAGTTGGTGGACGATTAAAACATTCACCTCTTAGTGAAGATTTTAGATATCCACTGATTTTGCCAAAACACAGCCATGTTACTCATCTTATTTTGTCTTACTGTCACAATCAAGTAAGTCATCAAGGCAGAGGTCAAACTCAAATGCAGGTCCGGCTTAATGGGTTTTGGATTATTGGCTGCAGCAGGTTGGTGGCTCAGATGATTCATAAATGTGTGCAGTGCAGGAAGATCAGACGTCCAGTGGAAGAACAACTTATGGCTGAGCTTCCAAAAGAACGCTTGGAAGCATCTGCACCATTTACCTATTGTGGAATGGACTGTTTTGGTCCTTTTATTGTTAAAAGAAATCGTAAGGAATACAAAAGGTATGGGTTGTTGTTCACCTGCCTTTATTCAAGAGCTGTTCACATTGAAATGTTGGAGGATTTGTCCACAGATTCTTTTATTAATGGCCTGCGCTGTTTCATTAGTTTGAGAGGAGCCGTTCGCCAGATATATTGTGATCAAGGAAGAAATTTTGTAGGAGCCCAAAATGAGTTTAAACAATGTGGTCCTAAACATTTGGAGTCTTTCCTGGCAGAAAATCAATGTGAGTTCATTTTTAATGCACCATCAGCAAGTCATGCTGGTGGTGTTTGGGAGCGTCAGATACGAACCATTCGAAATGTATTAGCTTTTACTCTATCACAAAACTTGGGAAAACTTGATGATGCTTCATTAAGAACTTTCTTTTATGAAGCCATGGCCATAATTAATAGTCGTCCTTTAACACTGAAGGGAATGAATGACCCTGGTTCTCTTGAACCTTTAACTCCTAACCATCTGCTTCAGATGAAGTCTGAGTCTGCCTTGCCTCCTGTAGGGAAATTTGTGAGGGAGGATATCTATTCCTCAAAACGTTGGCGCCGTGTGCAGTTTCTGGTTGAGCAGTTTTGGAGTCGGTGGAAGAGAGAATACCTCCAGAATATTTCCATTAGACAAAAATGGCATGTAGTTCGGCGCAATTTAAAAATAAATGATATTGTAATAGTAAAAGAGGATTTTCTCCAAGAAATAGGTGGCAGTTGGGTCGTGTTGTTGAAAACAATTGTTGATAGCGATGGCTTGGTTCGAAAAGTAAAATTGAGGACAGGAGAACAAAGATCAGGTAGGGATATTATTTCTAAGAGTTCAGTAATAGGAAGACCGGTGCAAAAATTGGTGGTGTTATTAGAAAACGATTTGTAAACTTAATGTACACAGACGAGCATGTTTTAAACAATCTGCATGATTTTTAAAAAAAAACCTTTTAAATGCATAATTTTAGTAATGGTTCATGCATTATTGGTGGGAGTGTAACGGATTGTAAAATGAAATGTCTAAATTATTTGTAGTTTATTTAAATTAAACAATTTAAATGAATTTCTAATTTAAGACTGTTGCAGATTGTTTATGTATGTTTGTCTGTTTTGGTTTGCATTGTTGGTGATTTATTTGGTTTAATGGTATTTTGTAATGTTTTGGATTTTTTTTTTTTAATACGTACCTCACGGGCTGCCGTAGAGAAAGAGGGCAGGGCCTATAAAACTGGGGAATTGCAGTGAACCAAATGAACTGTCAAACGTTGGACTAAGAAATGGCGTTCCCCAGTAAAGGCAGCGAGGTACGTTTTTGTTTGTTGTTGTATTGTTGATTTGTGTTGTATTTTAATATTTGTATTTGTTTAGTTTTCACGGTGATGGTGATGATGATGGTGATGATGATGGAGGTTTTGAAGTCAAGTGACCTGACGATGATCCAGCAAAATCATCAAAGGAGAAATAAAGCCAATATCACCTGTCGAGACCGACTGTTTTTTAATTCAAGTACTGGGGATCAGCTACAATTGAGATTTAAAGGAAGTCAGGGTTTCTGCTGTTTTACAGTTTTCTGGAAGTTTGTTCCAAAGTTTTGGTGCATAGATGCTGAAAGCTGCTTCTCCTCTCTTGGTTCTGGTTCTGGATGCAGAGCAGAACCAGAACCAGAACCTGAGAGTCTGGAAGGTTGATACAACAACAGCAGATCTTTGATGTATTGTGGTGCTAAACCTTTCAGTGATTTATAAACTAACAACAGTATTTTAAAATCTATTCTTTGAGCTACAGGGAGCCAGTGGAGGGACTTTAAAACTGCTGTTATGTCTCTATCTTCCTGGTTTTAGTGAGAACAGGAGCAGCAGCTTCTGGATCAGCTGCAGCTGGAGGATTGATTTGTTGGACAGGCCTGTGAAGACGCTGTTACAATAATCAATGAGACTAAAGATAAACGCATGGATGAGTTTCTCTAGATCTGGCTGAGACATTAGTCCTCTAATCCTGGAGATGTTCTTCAGGTGATAGAAGGCCGACTTTGTTACTGTCTTTATGTGGCTCTAGAGGTTCAGGTCAGAGTCCATCACTACTCCCAGGTTTCAGGCTGATCGCTAGTTTTTAGTTGTAATAACTGGAGCTGTGCATTGACTCTAGATCTATAGCTCTAGATCTATAGCTCTAGATCTAGAGCTCTAGATCTATAGCTCTAGATCTATAGCTCTAGATCTATAACTCTAGATCTATAGCTCTAGATCTATAGCTCTAGATCTAGAGCTCTAGATCTATTGCTCTAGATCTATAGCTCTAGATCTATAGCTCTAGATCTATAGCTCTAGATCTATAGCTCTAGATCTATAACTCTAGATCTATAGCTCTAGATCTAGAGCTATAGATCTAGAGCTATAGATCTATAGCTCTAGATCTATAGCTCTAGATCGTTCCTCTTTAGGTTAAAAAATAATGACTTCAGTTTTGTTTTCGTTCAGCTGGAGAAAGTTTTGGCACATCCACACATTTATCTGTTCTAAGCATTTATGCAGTGATTGGATGGGGTCAAAGGTCACCTGGTGACATCATAATGTAGAGCTGTGTGTCATAGTTATGGTAGCCAATATTATTTCCTGTTATAACCTGAGCTAGTGGGAGAATATAAATATTAAATAAGAGGGGTCCTAGGATTGAACCTTGGGATACCCCACATGTGACCTTTGACCTCTTTAATGAGAAGTTTCCAATTGAAACAAAGAAATCCCTGTTCTTTAAGTAAGATTCAAACCAGTCGAGCACCGAACCGGAGAGTCCAACCCAACTCTCCAGTCGATTCAGTAATATGTCAAAAGCTGCACTGAGGTCCAACAGAACCAGCACTGTGGTTCTGCCACAGTCCGTATTTATATGGATGTCATTGAATACTTTGACTAGGCCAGTCTCCGTGCTGTGGTGAGCACGGAAACCAGATTGGAAAGAGTCAAAGCAGTTGGTCATCATGAGGAAACTATTTAATTGTTTACACAGTTTTTTCAATAAGTTTGCTGATGAATGGGAGGTCAGAGGTCACACTACAAACACGCCTCAAATGCACTACAAAGCATCGGTTGCCCTGTTATCCTTGATGCCCCAGAGCCTTTGATCCAAACGGATTCTGATCTGTTTTGGATCAATAGGTCAGAACCACGTTTCCCGGCTGACCTCCAGCTGTGGTTCTGAATGACAACAAAGTGGAAATGAATAAAAGAAGAAAACAGTGAGAAGTGGCAGGAAACAGGAAGTGGAGAGGGAAAGAAGCTACTGAACGTTAGCGAGGCTAAATTCAGAGATTCTGGATCCAGACCGGATCCAGCAGAGCAACACAATATCAGCAAACGTTGCAGCAGGCCTAAGGTCATTAACAATCGCCTTGTTTTAGTCCGTCGGGTCACAGCAACGTCCAGAACTCTTAAAGTTGAAGTCGAACAAAAAACTGTTCCTGTGATCTGGGTGCGACCCAAATGGAGGATCTCAGCAGAACCGCGGCGCCGATGGTTGGTTGAAAACCAGGAAAGCAGCTTTTCAATAGCAGAAACTGCTGGTCAGGACAGAAATGTTCACAGCTGTTCTGCGCCGGGAGCTGAAACGTCCCAGGAGTCCTTGGGACTCTGAGTGCTGGGAACGCTGGTGAAACTGGAACCCAGCAGGAGGAAGGAAGGAAAGCTGAGTTTCACTTCTGTTGGTAATGGTGGCTGCTCCCCCTAGTGGTCTGGAGGTCTAGCGGAGTCAGTCGCTCCTGTCATGGTGTTTCATCTGCACGATAAAGAATAGCTGCTGGACTCACATGTCCCCAATAATGGACACAACGCTGCACCGTTGGACGGGTTTGCAGGACAAGCCTGAAGTCTTTGGTTCAGTGACAGGAGGAGGAACGACTTCATCAGGATGGATTATGGAGCCAGAAGCTTTAAATAAGCAGCATTTCTCTATGGATTACATATTTAGATATAAATCTAAATATGACTGCTGCACATGGAGAATCTCTCATTTGAGGATTTACAGCCGTTTTAATTTTTCCCAAATATTTCAGCTAAAGAAACAATTTCATAACAAACCATGAAAACCAGCAGGAATCCTTACTTGACTTTGGTAGATTATGTAACCAACTGGACAACATAAGGAGCTGAATGATGATGAAACATTATTATCATACAGTATTAGCAGCTGGTGTTAAAATATTAGCGGTTTTAGCATCAGCTGCTAGCAGGGCTCAGTCCTGGCCTCTTTTATCCTTGATGCTCCAGGAGCCTTTTGAGTTTTTCTTTAGTCTGAGCATCAGGAGGTCTGTGCCCCTCAACAATCATATACAGCTGCATATAACTTCACTAAATGAAGTTTAGTGAACTTCATTCTCTAAACATCCAGAGGTGCTAACATAGAAACCTGATGTAGAGTGAACCCTCTGAGCTTTTTGATCAGTCTGTAGCCGAGTTGTCAGAGGTTAAACTGAAGTAGCACAGCCTGTTTAATAAAATAGCAGAAGATTTCTTATTTCAGAACGTCATAACCTTTGACCTTCTGTCCTCTGGCCTGTTTAACAGCTACAGTCTCAGATCAACTCGGCCTCCAGCAGCAGCTTTCTACCCGCTGCTGTAGAAACAAACGTTATATCAGCTTTGCGTTGTGGTCACATGATGACAGTGATCATGTGATCTGATTAAATATTATGATTCATATGGTTGTTGCTGTTCCGTGTTTTAAGACTTTGTTCAATGGGCCCCTTTTTAACTTTGAGCCCCCGGCCCTCCAAAGGGCTCTGCACGGCCCTGCATCGATCTGACCCAAAGCTAAGCTGACATGTTTGTCTCTGCACAGCTGATCCTCTGACCTCAGGACAAGTCCTGGACGATTGGTCAGACACAAGAAGCTCCCCTTGTCCAATCAGTGGACGTTAATGGACCGGGATAGCCCGTCCCGTCTGAACTGTGGAGGTCTGTCCTCTCTGGAGGACGATAATGGACCGGGACAGCCTGTCCTGTCTCTGTCTCAGACCTGCTTTTGGGGTCCAGAGCTGTAAATCTGCATCTCTGCTGTAACAGTTCCTGCTGAAGGACTGGGACAGATGTTTTCCATGTGAGGATGATTTAAGACACTTTCTACGTTGGGTTACATCAGATCTCGTCCAGTTATCAGTGGGACAGATGTTTCCACTGATGGGAGAATTTAATGGTTCTCTTTATGGCTTACAGGCCGCGGCAGAACGGAGCTGGCTGCCTTCGGATCTCTTGTTCTCTGCTTGTTTTTCCTTCTGGTTTTCCTCGTGTTTCTGCGCCGCCAGCTTGTTAATGTGCAACATGGTAATGTGCAACATGGTAATGTGCAACATGTTAATGTGCAACATGTTAATGTGCAACATGGTAATGTGCAACATGTTAATGTGCAACATGGTAATGTGCATCATGTTAATGTGCAACATGGTAATGTGCATCATGTTAATGTGCAACATGGTAATGTGCAACATGTTAATGTGCAACATGGTAATGTGCAACATGTTAATGTGCATCATGTTAATGTGCAACATGGTAATGTGCAACATGTTAATGTGCAACATGGTAATGTGCATCATGTTAATGTGCATCATGTTAATGTGCAACATGTTAATGTGCATCATGTTAATGTGCATCATGTTAATGTGCAACATGGTAATGTGCATCATGTTAATGTGCAACATGGTAATGTGCAACATGTTAATGTGCATCATGGTAATGTGCAACATGTTAATGTGCAACATGGTAATGTGCAACAGGGTAATGTACAACATGTTAATGTGCAACATGGTAATGTGCATCATGTTAATGTGCATCATGTTAATGTGCAACATGGTAATGTGCATCATGTTAATGTGCATCATGTTAATGTGCAACATGGTAATGTGCATCATGTTAATGTGCAACATGGTAATGTGCAACATGTTAATGTGCATCATGGTAATGTGCAACATGTTAATGTGCAACATGGTAATGTGCAACAGGGTAATGTGCAACATGTTAATGTGCAACATGGTAATGTGCAACAGGGTAATGTGCAACATGTTAATGTGCAACATGTTAATGTGCATCATGTTAATGTGCAACATGTTAATATGCAACATGTTAATGTGCAACATGGTAATGTGCAACAGGGTAATGTGCAACATGTTAATATGCAACATGTTAATGTGCAACATGTTAATATGCAACATGTTAATGTGCAACATGTTAATATGCAACATGTTAATGTGCAACATGTTAATATGCAACATGTTAATGTGCATCATGTTAATGTGCAACATGGTAATGTGCAACATGTTAATGTGCAACATGTTAATGTGCATCATGTTAATGTGCAACATGTTAATATGCAACATGTTAATGTGCAACATGTTAATATGCAACATGTTAATGTGCATCATGTTAATGTGCAACATGGTAATGTGCAACAGGGTAATGTGCAACATGTTAATGTGCAACATGGTAATGTGCATC